CCACTCCGCTCTACACATAGTTGCACCGCATCACATTACATCAGATCATGCCACACCACACCACACCACACCACACCACACCACACCACACCACACCACGCCTTGCCACGCCACGCCACGTCACATCACATCTTACCTGGTATCACACCACACCACACCACACCACACCGCACCATCACAACACCACATCACACAACACCACACCAGACCATCACCACACCACATCACACCACCACACAACCACACCACACCACACCACACAACACCACTCCACACCACACCACACCCCACCATCACCACACTACATCACACCACCACACAACCACACCACACCACACCACACAACACCACTCCACACCACACCACACCCCACCATCACCACACTACATCACACCACCACACAACCACACCACACCACACCACACAACACCACTCCACATCACACCTCACCACACCATCACCACACCACATCACACCACCACACAACCACACCACACCATCACCACACCACACCACACCACACCATCACCACACCACATCACACCACCACACAACCGCACCACACCACACAACATCACTCCACACCTCACCACACCATACCACACCACACAACCACATTATGGCACCACATCACACCACACCAGCTGCATCACACCAAACCACACCACACCACACTGCACCATACTTACTTGCATCGTACTACATATTACACCTCACCACCACACCTCATCATCCCTGAAAATGTTTGTATAGGACTTCAACATCATTCCCTTGGTATAGGACAGCGTAGCTCTTGACAAGCCCAGATACAGAGGGCAGAAAAATCATGCTTGTATGGATATGCGACTTCATGAATTAGAAATACCAAAGCCAAGAGAGAAGCCCGCAAGCTGAGCACAAACACAGGTGGAAATGAAGCTTTTACATGCTCAAGATGTGGCAACTTCTCTCTGCCAGAAATGCTCTCATTTACCATAGCAGAAGCTACAGGTCGTCTCAATCATTGTTTCTTCTGTTTCTTGAGAAATACCTGTACATTTGAATCTGCTCTAACGGCCATATGTTTTGAGTAAGACAATCCCCTCTATTAAAACGGACCCCCCCCCACCCCCAAAACCCTTTGAGTGTTTTTTCAAAATTAGAACCCCATTAGGAACTGTATAAAGCGACCCATTTTCTCCTCTATAATAATAATATGTGGCCGCCTAAGACAATTTTGACGGTATTCTCTTCTACAGATGCTTTGGTCACCGACAGACATTGAGTTGCGGACTATTATAATATATTTGTCACGACGACAAGATAGAATCAGGCACTCGTCAATTTTGGGGCACCTGGAGTTAGTGGTATCATCTTAAACTAAAGCTTATTCATTTGACCATCTTAAAAAAACAACGACAAAACACTCTTATCTTGAATAGAAGTCCAGATATTTGCGATTGATGGAGGTGGGATTGCCTAGTTTCAAAGGTTAAATTAGCGAGAAAATGATGCCAATGTTTGGTGATTTCCAAAGCTTGAGAGTCCTTGGAAACTGAAAATTTACATTTGCTGTGACTTAAATTAATGTTTCTCAGTAAAATCCACACGTAAATGTTTTTTAAAATGGACATAAAATGTGTTGAGCCAAAAAACAAAATTAGAAAAAAAATTGTCAAACTGGAGGGAAAAAAATGCCGATATCTTCGATTGCATTATTTTGACGAGCACTTGACTTCACCACGATGCCTCACTTATGTCTCCAGATTACTCTCATTGGCTGCCCTAACTCTGCAGGAGGCGGAGTGATCACCCTGCTCAATCGGAAAGCCTTCAAAGGCTTCGACATGGCCCTGGGAGCAATACCTGGGCCTAGAACAGAGTGGAGTCCTGTCTGTCTCGGCATGAAGATGTTAGAGATAATACTTGTCGGTTTGAAAGCTTGCCGCACCTTCTACATGTATCTATCTATCTATCTATCTATCTATCTATCTATCTATCTATCTATCTATCTATCTACTATCTATGAGCACTCCATTAGCTCAGTTGGTATAATAGGTACAATTTTTCGACTATGTAACGAACTGTCGTGGTTCGAATCCCAGACTGGGAGTTCAGGAGCTCGGGTCGTTTTGTGGGGTTTACTGGGCTCTCAGTCTCAGCCCATTTGGCTTTGTCCTATCCAAGACGGGTGTTGAATTCGGAAGTCCTGCCTAACCTAGTGTTGACAGGAGCGTTAAATCTATCTATCTATCTATCTATCTATCTATCTATCTATCTATCTATCTATCTATCTATCTATCTATCTATCTATCTATCTATCTATCTATCTATCTATCTATCTATCTATCTATCTACCAGAGGGTAAAGTTTTCTGTTTTTCTATCTTTTTGTCTCTAGGTTTACTTGTACTTTTGAGTGGCTCTCTATCTATCTTGCAAGGTGACCGGGGCCGGGGCCTGGGCGGGGGTGGGGGCGGGGCGGGGGGGGGGGGGGGGGGGTAAAAAAGAGGTTTTTTAAAATCCAAAGTGATGTAGAACTTGAACTAAACTTTAGAGTTTGTACATGTACATCATCATGTTCTCTGTTTTATTTTAATTTTTAAAAAAATTATAATTATGAGTGATTTCTTGTTATTCTTTCCAGGAGTGTTATTCAAATCATATGTCCGTTATTTTACCATTCGCTTGATGGAGAGAAAGATATACAGAAAGATAGGCTATCTTAAAGAGAGAAAGAAAGAAAAAAAAAAAAAGAGAGAGAGAGAGAGAGAGAGAGAGAGAGAGAGAGACAGACAGACAGAGAGAGAGAGACAGAGAGACACAGAGAGAGAGTGAGACAGACAGATAGAGAGTCAGACAAATAGACTCATTTACAGATACGCAGAATAACAGTACAGACAAAGACAGAAAGAACGTGAGATCTCCGTTTCAGGTTTGAATTAGGTTTTGGAGGACGCTATTCTCTAGACATACATGTAGTTCCCGGTTCAATCTTTGGTCCAGGTTCAAGGCCACGTACAAGTGCTTGGAGGGCACACCGACAAACCAACTGCTCCCTGGCTCCCCGAAAGACGCGGTGGTATTGGCACAACTCAATGTCCAGACAATACAGGAACATCTCAGCCAAGGGTCATCTGTGGCGGGTAGGCAGCACAGGGGATGATAATGTTTGTCTTTTTCTAAAGATGAGACGAGATGTGATGGGATGAGATTAAAGATGATACTTCATTATACGAGAGGAACATTTTTCTATAGCTGTACAAGGATGTTAAAAGCGCATGTAGATATACAGAGAATGTTGGTGAGAGTGATGGGCGATATCAAAGATAGTACATAACAAGATGGGCCACTTCTCTCTTTGAGCCAATTAAAAAAGTTTCCTCAAAATTTGGTGGCGCCCTCTTCACAAAAGTGCACACTTTGCGAACAGAGTTACCCTACTTGAGTTTTAAAAAATCAAAGTGAAACTAGCAAGTTTTAGGATAAATTTCGGAAGAACGCTTTTTTTTAAATGGTTGCGCTGACAAAAAAACCTCTTCCGGAGGAAAGGGTGATGGTTTTCTTCGTTTAATTTGACTTTAGAATGAAAGGCGAGAGGTCATTAAAATAAAAAAAAAACTAAAACTCCGCACTGAACGTACCCGAACTGCTGATGAACAGCAGTCGATCTGCGCACGCAAGGAGGTGCTATTCCTATTCTTCTTCTGGAAAAACGAAAGAGAGCTTCAAAACAGACTGCAGCGCCATCTGAAGCAAAGAGCATACTTCCTGCGGACACTTTTTTGGCTGAGTGGCCCATCTTGTTATTTACTATCTTTGGCGATACCAACAATATCGATATCGATACTATATCGATATTTTTTCACAAGAAATATCGATATATCGATATTTTTCGATAGGCTATCACAAATTTATTATCTGTAAATTGGAATCGCCATCAAATATATCGATACATCGATAATTATCGAGTCTGGTCGATATTTCCAAAATATCGATGCTCTAAACACGGTAATGCGGTGCTGAGTGGTGGCCATAAATTAATATCGAAATATCGATTTTTTTCACTGCTCCGATACGATAAAATATCGATTTATTGATATTTCGGTTTCGATATGCCCACCACTGTTATGTTATATTACTTTAATAAAAAATAATACGAAGAGAAAGATAAGTATGAAAAGTGTAGAAGTTGTTTTTACTGCCCCTTCGACACCATTGAGACCATTTAGGTTACGGGTTTGGACCTAACATGCCAGAGCCAACCACGGCTGAGAGGGGTAGGCTACAGCGTCCCAGAAGAAAATTGAGATACACATGTACTCGATAAATTTCTCACCACTCGGTAATCGAACTCAGGTTTTCTACGTGCGACAACGAAGCGCCTAATCGCTAAGCCACAGATATGGTGATTCCATTATTGTTATTATTGCTGGTGAAGTTATTGTGGTTGTTGTTGTTGTTGTTGTTGTTGTTGTTGTTGCTGGTTTTTGCTTTTGTTGCTGTTGAGATGATGATGATGATGATGATGATGATGATGATGATGATGATGTGATGATGATGATGATGATGATGATGATGATGATGGTCGTGGTGGCGATGTTGCTGCTATGGTTTTTGCTTTTGTTGCTGTTGAGATGTTGATGGTGTTGTTGATGATGTTGGTGGTGGT